TGGGGGGGGGTGGCAGCGGGATGAGGGGACGGGCGCAGGGTGGCGGGGCAGGCGAGCGCGAATCGAGCACACATGCACGTGTGCCCGTCCCCAAAGGCTCTTTGCATGTGACGGTGCCAGGACACAGCACCGGTATGCAGGCAGGCTGGCAGGCGGCCCCACCTCCTCTGGAACTCCAGCTCATCGTACTCAAACACAGGCAGCAGCTCGACTGCAGGACGGGCGGGGCAGGACAGGCAGGCTCAGCGGGGCAGCCAGGACTGTGTAGGGTCGCCGGCATGCCTTGCGAAGGGGTGGCAGGCACTGTCCTTGGACTTGCCGTTCTTGGACACCCCCAGCCCACCAACTCCCACAGCCCGGGCTGCTTGCCTGCGTTGATGCCCATCTCCTTGAAGTGCTCCACCTTGGCCGCCACACCCGCATACGTGCCACGCTGCCCCGCAGGCAGGCCGCTGGACTCGGCGGCTGCAGGCAGGGGTAATGGGTGATGGGGGGCGCCGAGCTGATGCAAAAAAAGAGCAGGTTGACGTGCGGGCCGACGTGCTGATGCCAGCGTGCACACCAGGTGGCCCGGCTACCCCTACCCCTGTCCCATCATCCACCCCACAAAACAGGACCAAGGAAACCCCGGCGGAAAGTGTCTCACCACCACCCAGCCACCCACCCACCGACCCACCAGCCACCCACCGGTGAAGAGGCGCACGGGCAACTCAGCGATCACCAGGTCCTTGAGCGGGATGTCGGGGCGCTTGTAGGCGGCGCCCCAGTCAAACGGCTCCGCCTCAAAGTCAAAGGTGCCTCGGAACACGCTGCCCTCCTGCAGCGGCGGGCAGGCAGGGGGCGCGCGAGGTGAGAGGCGGGGGAGCTGGCAGCGCGGCATGTGCAGCGCCAGGTTGTGGGCAGGTGCGAGACTCGCCCTGGTCTTGAACTGCTCGAAGTCGTCGCGCTTTCCAAACACGGCCCGCCCCTTGACATGCTTGGCGTAAGGGTCCAGCAGGATCTGATGGAAAGTGGGGGCAGGCCAGCATGGGGGGCAGGCTAACAGAGATGGTGTCAGGGATGAGGCTGTGTTGGCAAGGTGACGGCACAGCAGCAGCAGCAGCAGCGGCAGGGGTGCGTGCGTGCCTTGTTCTTGTCCCAGCGGAAGGGCGTGTCCCAGCCTCCCCGGCCGTCCACCTTGTAACCGTACAGCACCTTGGACTGCAGCACAGCACAGCACAGCACAGCACAGCACAGCACAGCACAGCATGACAGGCAGGTGAGCAAACGGGCAGGTGGGACGTAGACCGAGGATGCAGCAGGCAGCGAGTGCAGGCCAGATGCACATGAGTTTGCTGCAGCGCTCAGCCGGCGCCAGCGTTACGCCACATAAGCAACGCGTGCCGCGCAGTACCGCATGCCCGTCGTGCTGCTGCACGGCTCGGCGGCGGCTGGCGCCCACCTGCGGCAGCCCCGCCACAAACGCGTGCCACACGTCTCCGGTGCGCTGCAGGGAGGCCTCCATCACGGGTCGGTCGTCCCAGTCGCGCAGGCAGAGGGTGACGGAGGAGGCGTTGGGGGCATACAGCGCAAAGTTGACGCCCGGCTTGGAGCCAGCGGCGGGGGAGGCGCCCAGGGGCGACGGGGTGCCAGGCTCCTGCTCCAGGCTGTCGGCAGAGAGCGGGGCGGGCATGGGTGCTGGCGCGGCGGCAGCTTTGGCCTTGGCCGGCGCCACTGTCGGCTCGGCGGCTTCCTCTGCTGGGGGAGCTTGCGCCCGCGCTTCAGGCACCGCCTCCCGGGGCTTTGGCGGGACGCGGCCTCCCGACTCGCGATACGCCCGCAAGGCTGTCGAGGCCCGCTGCTGGTGCAGGGGCTGCCGCCACGGGCGCCCTTGGCTGTGGAAGCTGGGAGTGGGCTGCAGGGCAGGACAGCAGAGTTGACAGATTGCCAGAGGTGGCGGGCGTTGGTGGCAGGAGCGGCGGCGTTGCCTGAGCGCCAGGTCAAACGCCCAGGGAATTGCACCCTATCGGCGCGCCCCCCTCACCTGTCCGAACGGCCCTGGTGTGCTGGCCAGGGCCTGCCTGTGCTGCACGGCGGCACCAAACCCTGCCCTCATAGAGGCCTGCTGATCGAAGGTCTGTTGCTGCCCCCAGCGAGTTGTGGGATCGATCTGGAAGTCACGCAGGATCAGGCAGAGAGTTGTGAGCAGTCGCCCAGCGGCTCAAACAGGTGGCGGCTGTGCGTTGGTGGCTGTTCCGGTGCCTCTGTTGTCGATCAGGGACAGCACTATCAGCACCCCCGCACGCTGATGGGCGCTGGGAAGCTCTCCTTTTCGGCATGTTTGACAGGTCAGCCGCCCCGCCCATGTGGCACCGCAGGGGGAGATATGAGGCTGCAGTGGTGCAGTGGCACATCCATCTTACCAACACTGTGCGCAGGAGACAGTGCAAGGGCTGCAAGCGCTGCATGCGTTGCATGTCTTTTGCCAGCATCACCGCCATTCCTCCATTTGCATCCCGCAAACAAAGCCTCTTGGCACTTGACATACATCCCACTAGCGGCGGCCCGGCTGGTGCACCCCGCCGCAATGAGCAAGCGCAGTGCCAGGGGCAGCAGGCAGGCCGAGGTGCTGCCTGCCCAGCAGCCCGAGGAGCTGGACGCGGCAGAGCTGCAGCTGTCCAGCGATGAAGAGTACGACTCCGACGACTCCGACCTGGCCAGCCTGAGCGGCAGCGACGGCGAGGGCGGCAGCGGCGTGGACCGAGAAATCGAGAACGCGGTGCTGGGCTACATGGCGGCGGCAGAGAAGCAGCGGCAGGGCGGCGGCGGCGGTAGCGACAGGTGAGGGCTGGGCTGCACGGCTCCGCGGGCCGTGGTGGGAGCCGCCCGGCACGCCTGTCGCCGCCGCTGGCCGCCCATCCCACATGCCCCTAGTGCTACCGCTCATGCTGCAGCGAGAGCAAGGGAGAAGAGGAGGAGGAGGAGAGCGACAGCGACGAGGCGGGCGAGGGCGACGAGGAGGAGGCCGGCGCGCGGCAGGGCGGCGCCGAGGCGGCGGCCGCCGACGGCGGCGGCAGCGGCGGCGAGGAGGATCCAGACCCGGCCAGCGACTCTTCGGAGGACGAGCGCCCCAACCGCAACACCATCGGGGATGTGCCCCTGGAGTGGTACAAGGATGAGGAGCATGTGGGGTACGATGCGGAGGGGAACAAGCTGGCGCGGCGGCCGCGGCGCGACCGCCTGGACAAGCTCATCGCCCGCAACGACTCCTCCAAGGTGCAGCGGGGCCGCACGGCTGCCTCGCAGATAGCCGCCTGGCTCGTGCTGGGCTGGGCTGGGCAGCGCTGGCTACGCTGCTGTGTGGCCAGTGGCAGCTCCCATGCCTCGCAGCTGCCCACCTCGCCTCCCTCCTCCTCTCCTCCGCCTGCCCTCCTCCGGCTCACTGCCCCGCCCTCTGCCCTGCCTCCCTTCCTCCCCCGCCCCACCCCCAGGAGCTGCGCACCGTGTATGATGAGTACAATGACGAGGAGATTGTGCTGAGCAAGGAGGAAATGCGCATGATACAGCGCATACGCGCGGGTGGGTGGCGGGGCCGGGACTGGGTTTGGGGCATCCGGCGCATGCGCTCGGGCGGAAGGCAGTGTGGGCAGCAGTGTGGCTGGCCCCCTTTGGGAGGGTCTGACGAGCGGCTGCAGCTGCTGCTGCTGCTGCTGAACCAAGACCCGCTGCCTGCGCGTGACCGGCGCCGCCTGCCCTGCTGTTGGTTGCCCCCATGCACCCTGCCCCGCAGGCCAGTTCCCGCACGTGGAGGTGGACCCCTTTGAGCCCGAGGTGGACTGGTTCACGCGGGATGTGGAGGTGATGCCGCTGAGCGGGGCGCCCGAGCCCAAGCGACGCTTTGTGCCGTCCAAGTGGGAGGAGAAGAAGTGAGTGGGGAGAGAACGGGGAGGAGGTGGTGGTGGTGGTGGGCGTCGAGCCAGGGCATAAAGGAGGGCTTAGGTGCGGCTGTGTGTGTGCTGGGGGCGCTGACCCACTTGCCTTGCTGCTGGGCCGGCTGTGCGGCTGGCTGTGTGCAGGGTGGTGAAGCTGGTGCGTGCGCTGCGCAAGGGGTGGATCAAGCGGGAGGAGGCGCCCGAGAAGCCAGAGGCATACCTGATTTGGGAGGATGATGGTGAAGTGGCGGCAGGGTGGTGGCAGTCGGGGCCTGCTGGGGGATGTGTGGGTTTCCACGCCTATGCGTGTGTTGCGCTGTGTGTGAGGTACTCGGGTGGTTTCGATGCATCCCTCCGCCTGCTGACTCGGCGCCCGCCCGCCTCCCTGCTCCCCGCCCGGTGCAGGCAAGACGCTGGACAAGACGGCCACGGGCCTGACGTACATCCCCGCGCCCAAGCTCAAGCTGCCGGGCCACGAGGAGTCGTACAACCCGCCCAAGGAGTACCTGCCCAGCGAGGTGGGTGGCGGTGGTGTGTGTGTGCGTGTGTGTGCACACACGAGTGTGCAGCTGTGTGCCTGCGTGTGAGGGAGAGGGAGAGGGAGAGGGAGAGGGTGCCTTGGCTGCGCATGGCTGCACCGGACACCCTGCGGCAGCGGCACGCCAAGGCTCTAACCAGGTGACCCTCCGCCACTGGGCCTGAGTTCTGCAGGAGGAGAAGAATGCGGCGCAGCTGGCAGAGGAGGTGGAGGAGCGGCCGCAGTTTGTGCCCACAGCCTATGATTGCCTGCGGCGGGTGAGCGCGGCATGCGCTGGCAGTGCGGGTGCTGTGCTGGCGTCCAACCTCCCGCCTCATGCAGTGCAATCTTGCATCACCACCCTGCCGTAAAGGACCTACACATCTACGCCGATCGAGCGCAACTCCCGGCCCACCCCGCACACGCATCTGACCCGCCAACCCACACCCTTTGCCTCCCTCCCCCGCACACACAAGCAGGTCCCCGCCTATGCCTCCTTCATCAAGGAGCGCTTTGAGCGCTGCCTGGACCTCTACCTGTGCCCCCGCACACGCCGCAAGCGGCTCATCATCGAGGGTGAGGGCGGCAGCCGGGCTCGCGGCTGCCGCTGTGTGTATGTGTGTCTGGCAAGCACCGCTCGTTTAGCCCACCGTGAATCTTCCCTGGCCTGTTTGGCCACGCGCCCGGAGCCCACCTGCATTCGCTGAGATGCCCGCTCGCCTCCCACTGCCTTCCGCACCCTCACCCACTCGCCCCTCGCCCTGACCGCGCCCCCTGCCCGCCACAGACCCCGAGGTTCTGGTGCCCAAGCTGCCCAAGCCTCAGGACCTGCAGCCCTTCCCCGCCCTGCTGTCGGTGCGCTACACCGGGCACACCAAGCCCGTGCGCAGCGTGTGCCCAGACCCAACCGGCCAGTGGCTGCTGTCGGGCTCAGGTGTGTGCTGCGCGGGCTGCCTTCATTGATCACTGTTCCCAGGCCAGCAGCCGCTTGCACCTGGCATGCCCTGCACTCATCTTGCGCTGACAGACACGGCAACGGTGCCGAGCGTCTTTTTGTTTGCCTTGCGCTGCCTGCCTCCCTCTCCCCACACACGATTGCAGACGACGGCACCGTCCGGCTGTGGGAGGTCCGCACGGGGCGCTGCATGCGGGTGTGGCAGCTGGAGGAGCCGGTCAGCTGCGTGGCGTGGTGCCCCTCGCCGCAGCTGCAGCTGCTGGCAGGTGGGTCTTGCGGCTGCCTCGTGGATTGCCCAATCCAAAAACCTGCTTTTCCCATAAGCCTGCTGCTGCCGGGAGCCTTTGCTTGGCAGGTGCTTGGCATTGGTGTAGCAGCATGTGAAGTGCAGATGCTGCTGCACTTGGCAAAGCGGCTGCCTGCCCTGCTGCTGCCAAACGGCAAGCCTGCATCCTCCATCTCTCCGCGCTGCAGCTGCCTCTGGCAAGCGGCTGTTCCTGCTGCCCACGGGGACGGGGCATGAAGAGCAGGAGGCGGCCACTAAGCAGGCGCTGGCGGCGTGCACAGCCAGCAGCAGCGCCGGCGGCGGCGGCATAGAGGAGGGGCAGCTGGTCAGCTGGCAGCGATGGCAGGGCGGCGGCGAGGAGGGCGGCGCGGTAGTGCTCCACAAGTTTGCCATCAAGCACGTCACCTGGCACACGCGCGGTGACTACTTTGCAACCACAGCTCCCGCAGGCAACACGCAGGTGCCTGTGGAGGCCACCAGCTGGGTGTGGGGACCGTTGCTGTCTCCTTGCAGTCCTCCGGGGCTGGTGGCGTTCTGGTTCTGCTTCTCGGCCTGCGCAGCACTGCATATGCCTGCGGCACCGCTGCCTGCTGCGCCCTGATGCCACCGCCACCTCCCTTGCCCGCCTGCCTCCCTCTCGCAGGCGGTGCTGGTGCACCAGCTGAGCAAGGGCGTGAGCCAGAACCCGTTCCGCAAAAACCGTGGCCGCGTGGTGCGCGTGCTCTTCCACCCCGCCAAGCCTTTCTTCTTCGTTGCCACCCAGCAGAACGTGGGTGGCGGGCCCGGGGCGCCGGCGGGGCAGCAGGGGGCAGGGGCCGCAGATCGCGCAGGCCTTGGGCAGCCAGGAGCAGCCAGCAGCAGGCATAGGGCTGTGCGTGCATGCAGCCACACCCAGCCCTCCCTCCCTCCCTCCCTCCTGACCATGCTTTCTTTCTTCCCGATCTCTCTTCCTTTCCTCCCCGCAGGTACGCGTGTACAACCTGGCCAAGCAGGCGCTGGCCAAGAAGCTGGTGGCGGGCAGCGGCGTGATCACCAGCATGGCGGTGCACCCCAGCGGCGACCACCTCATCGTGGGCAGCGAGGACAAGCGGCTGTGGTGAGCGGGCAGGGGTGGCGGTGGGTGGGGGGTGAATTGGGCGGCTGCCCACCCGCAGCTGCCCATGCGGCCAGTCGTGGAGGCCGGCAGCGCAGGTCACCGCACCACTGGCCGCCTCCAGCACCCGACCTTACATGCTGCCCGCCTGCCTCCCTCGTCCCCTCACCCCCCTGCCACTGCCCCTTCCTCCCCCGCAGCTGGTTCGACCTGGACCTGTCGTCTAAGCCGTACCGGTCGCTGCGGTACCACAACTATGCGGTACGCGGCGCCGCCTTCCACCGCACCTACCCCCTCTTTGCCTCCTCTTCCGACGACGCCACCGTGCATGTCTTCCACGGCATGGTGTATGCCGACTTGATGACCAACCCGCTTATCGTGCCGGGTGCGTGCACGCATGTCGCTGGGCTCAAGGCCTCAAGAGTGTAGGGGTTGGTACTGGAGGGCCCTTGCGGCTCGCCAGGCCGCTCACCCTCTCCCTGTGTGTGCCGCTTGCTGCTGCCTGCAGTCAAGATTCTGCGGGGCCACGAGATGGTGGACTACCAGGGGGTGCTGGATGTGGCCTTCCACCCCACGCAGCCCTGGGCCTTCACCGCCGGCGCCGACGCCGCCATCTGCCTGTTTGTCAACCCCTGAGTGGCTCAGGGCGATCAGAGCTATTTCACTGTTGTCCACCCATTCTGTTGAGCTGTGTAATGAGGCGAATGGCTTGGAAACGTGGTCCTGTGAGGACTCCTCGGGGAGGGGAGCAGGCACCTGGTGCCAGCACGGAGTGCCTGGGGACTGTCGAACTTTGCGGATCCAGACCCGGCCCGCCCGAGCAAGATGGGGGATGTTCAAGCCAGACGCTTTCACGTTCAAGCAAACGAACAATATGCCGCTCGCCTGGCCCGTGCCCGGCGCAGACGGCCCCCCACCCGTGCTGCCTTCCAAGCAGGAGAGTCCAGAGGCCGCAGTGCAGGCAGCAAAGGAAGGGAGCATGGCGCTGCAGGTGAGATGGGGGGGGTAGCAGGTCGCCTGCGCCGCTGCTGCCTGCTGCAAACGCCATGCCGCCCTCTCTTTAATCTTGCCCCTAAACTGCAGGCGCTGGCGGCGAGCTCCGGCTTTGCGAGGGCCTTTGAGCACGCCCTCAACACCCACGCCGCCACGCGCTCCGCAGCCACCGCGCCGCTCTCCCAGCTGCCCGCCGCCTTTGCCGCCGTCGACCTGGGCCCCGTGCTGAGCGAGGCCGCTGCCTTTGCCGCCATCACCAGCGCCGACGGCATCCAGCGCTTCCTGGTGGCGCCGGAGCGAGGCGTGCGGGCCCTGGTCCGCGACGCGCTGCAGCTGTACAGGTGAGCGCGCGCCGGGAGCGACCCAGCCTGGATGTGTCGTGGGCGGGGATGGTGTGTGTGGGATGGCGTGCACGAGCTGACCGTGGGTTGGATGGCAGGTGCTGATACGGCACGCGTCGCCCGGCCCGGTGCAGTGCGCCAATGGAGCAGGCGGCTGGCGCGGTGCGCGACGCGCTGCTGGCTGCGGTGGAGCTGGCCGCGGGCACAGGGCTGGGCCCAGGGGTGCCAGACTCCCTGCGAGAGCAGGTTTCGGACCTGGCCGCCAACAGCATTCGAGGCTGGCATGGCGAGGCACACAAGCAGCTGGCGTGGCTGCTGGTGGCGGAGCAGAGCTGCCCAGAGGTGGCACGCTTTGCCGACCTGCGCCAGCGCCTGCTGCACCTCCTGGCAAGCCCAGCCGATGGTGGCGGGCTGGCGCTGGAGCCGCAGCCGGCCGCAGCAGGAATCAAGTCGGACGCGGCGCCTGCCCAGGAGCAGGGAGCCCAGCAGCCACTCAAGGTGAGGGGCAGCTAGAAGCTTGCCCACCTGCCCATGACCTTGGCATGCGCACAGCCGAGTGCTTCCCGCCAGCTGCCTCACCTCGGCTACCCGCCCGCATCTGCAGGCTGTGGCTGCCGGCACAGGCGAGGCACACTTTTTCATGGGAGAGCTCCTCAAAAGATCCAGCAAAGGAGCCTGGCAGCGCCGTTGGGTGGTGCTGGACGGCGAGGCCCAAGCCCTGCACTACCTGCACAGCCCGGGCGACAAGCCGGCCAGGGCATTCAGCCTGCGGGGCGCTGTAGTGATGCGGGATGTGCCAGCCCCAGGTGAGAGCTCCCGCTGGGCGCTGGTGGGTGATGCAGAGCATCCCAAATGCGCAGAGCATGCCAGCCATGTGTGCCCACAACTCCTTCCACCATGATTGATCCCCGCTGCCTTGCAGGCGCTGCTGACAGGAAGGAGGCCCTCACTTTCCAGCTGCGTGTGGAAGGCGGCGACTCACTCACTCTGCGGGCCAGCTCCCAGGCAGCCAAGCAGGCGTGGCTGGAGCACCTGGAGGCTGCGGTGGCAGGCGGCAGAGGCGCCCAGAGCATCTCCACCGTGGCGGTGCCCGCCCACCCGCCCGCACTCAAAATGAGCGCCAGCACCAGCAGCACTGAGGATGGCAGCGAGGCAGCAGCGCCAGTGCCCCGCAAGATCAGCACTACCGTTTTCCAGGACGAGAAAGAGATGGCGGCAGGCAGCGAGGCTGTGCCAGAAGATGAGCCGGCGCCGGAGCGGGAGCGGGTGGCAGCAGAGGAGGTGCTGCTGGCAGCCATTGCCGCACAGGCGGCCAAGCGCCAGCCCACAGCTCAGGAGGCGGCTGTGCTTCGGGAGGTGGTGGCAGTGGTGGAGGGGTATGTGCGGGAGGCAGGCGCCAGGCTGCAAGGCCTGACCCAGCGAGTGGTCAGCTCCGGCTTGCTGCTCGAGAGGGCGTCCGTGCTGAGACAGGACCTCCTGAGGATCCTGCTGGAGCCTGGCGCCGCCCCGCCGTGCGTCGACTGAGGCACTGGCAGCTGGCGAGGCAGTTCATCGTGGAGATGAAGGCTGGGCTGGCGGTACAGAGCTAAGGCAACGGATGATTGAGTGAATTGAAGTCCTCCCAAATTTCCTGGGCACCGGATTTAGACCAGTGCCCCTCATTCAGAAGATGTACCCTGTTTTAGCGGTCACCGTCAGTTACAATTTATGCAAACACAAGCCGGCTTAACCGGTGGGGATGAATGGGTGTCGTTGTTCCAGGCATGTAAGCGGAAGATGACGAGCGAGAGTGCTAATGAAACAATCAGTGGGGAGCAAAAATGGCTGGTTCAGGCTGCGCCGGCAGCGCTGGGAACGCAGCCTACCAGCTGCATGCATGTGCATTCACTGGTCGGCTGCCAGTCAGACCGGCAGCTGATTTAGTGCATGGCCTTGATCACTTCCACGATGGAGCCTGCGCTGGAGGCCTTGGCCTCCGCTGGCGACTTGTCGACGCGCTGTAGGCAGCCCAGGGGAATGAGGGCAATTCAGGGACCTTGGCGCGTTGCAGCCAGCATCACATGCACATGCTGCTGCGTCGGATGCAGCGACAGTCCATGGCAGAGAACACCCCAAAATCTGCCCCGCTTGCCTCCGCCTCCCAGCTCACCACTTTGAGCAGCACACCATCATCCACAACCGCCGCATACCGCTGGCTGCGAGCGCCGGGCGCGTCGGGCGCCGCCAGCTCCACGCCCAAGAACCGCGTGAAGGCGCCGTTGGTGTCGGCCACCACCTGCACGCCCCCCAAGCACACCAATCATCAGGTCGGTGCTGCGGAAGCAAAGCAGGAAGTGCGCATGCAGCACCAGCAGCATGCAACGCTGCGGAAAGGACGATCGGCGCTCCCCCATGCCGACGCCGCACCTGAATCTTGCTGCCGTCGCTCAAGCTGAGCTTCTGTGCCCAGCTGTCTGCCGCTGCCGGGTCGCCCACGGCGACGCACAGGATTTTGGAGATGCCCAGCCGCCGCAGCTCGTCACCTCGCTGCAGGAAGCTGGGCACGTGCTGCTCGCTGCACACCTTGCCGCAGTCGGGGACACCGAAAACCACCGCTTTCTCGCCCTGTGGCAATGACATGATGCATGATCGTGAGAAGCAGCAAAGCAGCAGCAGGGTGGCGGCGGCGGCGTGGCGGCGGGCGCCCACCTTGAGCAGCTCAGCCAGCGTCTTCTTCTCTCCCTTGACCGTCAGCCGCACGTCCTCCCGCAGCGTCAGGTCCTTGCGCCGCGACAGCCCGATATGGCAGGCCTCGGAGGACAGGTCCGATTGCTGGTGGCCCTCGGGCACCGCATAAAAGGGGTTGTCGGCGGCGGCTGGCTGCGCGCTGGAGAAGGCCAGCTTTTGCACCAGCGGGCTGGCGCTCTGCTGCTGGGCCCAGCCGCTTAGCCGCAGCCCCGCCAACCTCCTGAGCAGCGCCATCCTTGCAGCAGAAGCACTGGGAGAACCACGGGAGCAGAATGCGCGTGCGATCGGGCGCCTGCGAGCCAGCCCATCGACATTCTACTACCGCCGCCCCAGCGGACTGCCGCCACGTCACAGGCGGTCCTAATCCTCTGGATCTGATCTCAAGCAGGCTGATTACATTGGCAATACACGTGGTACAGAGCTTTGGGTCGTGTCAATTGGGTGAGTGGCGCGTGAAACGTACGCACCACCGGCGGCGGAGCGGCGACCGGAGAACGGCGGCACAGCCAGCCAGCCGGCGGCGGCGCCCATGCCACACCTTCTCGCTGCTGCTGCTGCTGCTGCTGCTCCAGGCGGGCCGCCTCACACGTCCACGCTGGTCAGCTCGCTCTGAGCCCTGCGCAGCATGTCCAGCTTGTGGGTGAGCGCCTCGCGCCGCTTCATCACCGCCTCGTCCTCGCCCAGCAGCCGCTTGAGGGCTGCCTCCTGGTCCCCCGCCACACTGGCCGACATCTCCTCCAGCAGCTTGTCCTTGGACTGCAGCACCATGCAGTGAACGATGGCCTTGGGCACCGTCTGCGTCAGCTGCGCGCACACCTCGCGCACGTAGCCAGACACCTGCGGGCGAGGCAGGCAGGCGTGGAAGCACACACCCAGGCTTGAGAGGCGGCCTCAGCTCAATGCAGCGTCAAACAGGGATGGAGCTACATGGCGTGCAGCAGCGGGTGGAGCACAGACAGCGCGGCAGCCGCGGCAGCGCTTTGGGCCCCGCCGCGTGCCCCTGCCGCCCACCTGGTTGATGATGCGCTTGTAGTGCTTCTCCTCAGGGCTGCCCTCGGGCTCCTCGGTCACCGGACGCCCATCCAGCGTGTACATCACCTTGCCGTCGGGCATCTTGCCCATCTGTGAGGCAGGCAGGTGGGGGCGGCGGCGCGAGGCAAGGTGTTTGTTGCTTTTTGTTTTACAATCAGCCCATCAACCACCAAACACCACCCAACCCCCAACCGCAGCCAGCCCCCACCTGTATGGTGCGGAAGTACTCTGCTGTGATGTAGTTGCGCTCCATCTCAACCATGATGCTCACCATCTTGCGTGTGTCCTCCTGCATGGCAGCAGCAGGGCGGGGCAGGAGCAGGAGCAGTTGGCGCCAGCGCACATTTGCAGCTCAAAGGCAGGGACAGGCAAGCCCGGCAGTGTTGCCGGCGTCGGTGGGCTTCCTGGCAACCTCCCGCAGCGGCCCACAGCCACCAAGCACCGCCCCGGCTGCCCCTCCCGCCCCACCTTGAACTTCTCCAGCGCGCGGTAGGCGGCGGTCACAATCTCGCGGCGCAGAGTGGGGTAGCGCCGCAGCGCGCGCACCTCGTCGCTGTTGGCCACATTGTCCACCATGCGGCGCAGCAGCACAAACACCTGCGGGCGGGGCGGGTGTGCCGAGGCAGGGGCGGGCGCCAGCAGGGTCGGGCCGCGCTGCGCAGGGCTGGCTGGGGGCGCGAGCTGGGCTGCACATCGATGGGCATGCCTGCCAGGCGGCCACCAGGGGTGCCCGCTCACCTCCTCCACCGACTTTTCTGTGGGGTCCTTGAGGTACCCCAGCGCCTCCTCCAGCAGCCGCCGGTACCCCGCCTCGGGCGCCACCAAGTGTGGCTGGATGCCGTCCGCCTCCTCAATCACCCGCTTCACATACCCCACATCCAGGATCTTCTTGAACGGCTGCTTCTCTATCGACTCAGGCAGCCGCTTCTCAAACACAGTCAGGATCAGCTCGCCGCCTGCGGGCGTGGGGAGCAAGCACAAGGGGAAGCAGGTGAAAGGGGCCCGGCGGCAGCCTTCCACCAGCCCACCTGCTGCCCGCTGCATGCACCATGTGCTCTCCCCCCCGGCCGGCTGCCCCACTCCCCAGGCCCCAACACCCACCTCCCTTGCCGCCGTCTATGAGCTTGCCAAAGGTGGTCTCAAACTTGCGGCACAGGGTGAGCACCAGGTGGATCATCTCGCCTCGCGAGTTGGCGGCGGGGCCCCCCATCGCCTCCAGCTCCTTCTGCAGGTCCATGATGCTCTTGTTCACAAAGCCCGAGATGTTGGGCAGCTGGCGGCGCACGGAGGAGATGAGCTTCTCGCTGAGCTCGGTGGACAGGTGGCCCGTGCCCACATTCCTCAGCCCCTGGTAGTCGCTCTTCTTCTGGAAGTACTCCAGCTCCTTGGCGCGCGCATCCCGCATCGACATCTGCACCACAGCACAGCACAGAGAGAGTCAGGCAGGCAGGCGGGGGGAGGCAGGGGCGAGCTGGCAGGGAGGCTGGCGGGCGCGGGATGCAGCAGGCATGCAGGGGTCAGCTAGAGCCAAAGCCAATATGTGGGCGAGCCGGACGCGCTGCCAGCCGCTGCCCAGCCCGCCACCCACCCGCGAGTTGATGTCTGCCTGGCCGCGGTTGACCACGCCGATCCAGCCGTTGCGCAGGCCGTAGGAGTGGCCCTCCAGCACGTCGCGGCAGTTGGTGCCGGGGTCCATGATGTCAATCTTGGTCAGCACGCCTGCGGGGGCACGCAGCGGGCAGGGCAGGGCAAGGCGGGGTGAGGGCGGCAGCAGGGAGAGCACCAGGCCTGATGCAAGGGAGCAGCAGGGGCAGGTGGTGGGTCGTGAAACCACTCCACACTGTGCCACCAGGGGCTGGTAGCCAACCCGCTGCACTGCCCCGCCACTGCCGCAACGCCACCCCGCTCCCCTGCCCCGACCTGCCGCCCCTGCTGCCTCCCGAGCCCCACCTATCGTGCGCTCGCCGGTGGGGTCCACCTCCCGCGCCAGGCGCAGCGCGTCCGAGGTGGCCAGGTCCGCGTTGGCGGGGGTGACGGCCAGGATGATGACGTTCTCGTGCTTCACGTAGTCCCGCGCCATGTTCTCCAGCTCCTGCACGATGCTCTTGGGCTGGCCGTCGATGGGCACCTTGGTGAGACCGGGCATGTCCACCATGGACAGCGCGGGCAGCTGCGGCGACACGATGCGCAGCGTGATGGGCACGGGCGACACGATGGTGCCCCGCTTCTGCGTGTGCCGCATCGTCTCCGCCTCAATCTCCTTGCGGATCTCCTCTGCAGCAGCAGGGCGGGGCAGGCGGGGCGCGGCGGGTGGGGGCAGGCGGGGGCAGCCATGGGCGAGGAGCGGAAGCGCCGGCAGGAGGGTGCGCCTTGGTTGCGGCACCAGCCACGGCGCCGAATCCGCAAGCCGCCTCGCTGCCGCCTGCTGTGCAGCCACCTCCGACCAACCAGGCAGCCACCACGCGCTGCACAGACGGGCCAGCAGGGCGGGGCCGTGCCACCCACCAAAGTCGTAAAACTTCTGGCCGGCCATGTGCCCAAACTCGCCATACTCGCGAGCATTCGGGTCTGCCGCCGTCTCCAGCTGCAGCTCCAGCGGCCGCCGCGTCACGATGCCTGTGCCGCGAGGCAGGAAGTCGCGCCCCACCACCGCCTCGAGCACGCTCGACTTGCCGCTGGACTGGCCGCCCACCACCACAATCTTGGGCAGCTGCCGCGCCAGGCTGGGCAGGCTGCCGCCATCGCCGACCTGCGTGTCGCCGGCGAGCGCAGCAATCTGCGACACGCGGTTCACCGCCTTGAGCACGCTGTCCATGGCGGCAGCGCTTGCTGTCACCCCTGGCTGCCCTGCGGGGGCGCAGACGGCCTGCGGAGCAACACGGGTCCGAACAAGCGCAGCAGGCGGGTTGAGCAGCAGCAGCCCAGAGCAGGCGCGGATGCGGCAGCACAGCTTCTACTACAGCAGCTGGCACCCGGGGGTCGCTGGGCACGGGGAATAATTAGGCAGCAGGCACCATCAAGCAGGGCAGCAGGAGGTCGGCAGCGGGCGGCGGCGGCTAGACCATCTGCCCGAGGCAAGCAGGTTGCGCGGCCCTTGGTTGGCCGGCATTCTCCCACCCCACCCCCGTGCCGCCCCGTGCGCTGTGGCAGGCGCAAGGGCCCAGAGTCAAAGGCAACGCTAGTGATCTGGCGGTGTGAGAGCCTGGCGGGGCCTGCGGGGCCCGGCTGCGCTCGCCGTTCACCTTGGTGGCCGGAGAAGCAGAGGCTGGGGCGGGCTCGGCGCTGGGAGGGGGCTACACGCGGTTAGTTGGCAGCCTGCCTTCAGGCGCCCTGCTGCTTGGCGAGGGGCTGGAGGTGCCGCACTGGATCGCACAGTGGGAAGGGGGAGCGTGCTGCTTGCCCTTGCACTGCCGTGACCTTCTTCCTGGCTGAGTGGGGCGATTATTGGCCATTGAGATCCACACGCGCCCATTGCGCCCGCACATTCAGTCATCGTTGATCGCTATGGCCTCCGGCATGCCTAAGAATCACACTGCAAGGCAGGCCTGCCCCTGGGCTTCTGCGGTTCGCATGTCGAGTTGCGCAAGCCCACCAGGACCGACGGCCCGGCCCGCAGAGTGGTGGCAGCACAGCAGCCTGAGCCGGACAGCAGGGCTGTGCCTGGCGGGGCTGGCAGCCAGCACGGCATTATCGCTGCCGCTGCCGCCACCCGCCGCCGCCTCCATCCCGCTGGGCCCTGCCAGCAGCGAGGAGGCACAGCGAGCAATGGCACTGCAGCAGCTAGCAGGTGGGTGGACGGCCTGTCGGGTTTGGCGCCGGCCCGCAGCTGCCCACTACCCACCGGCTGGCCTGGAAAACCGTCCAGTGGCACCCTAAAATTCGCTCATCCCCACTCACAACCCCGCTGCTCTGCTATCCACAGCACGCTACCCGGTGCGTGGCACGGCGCCGGCGCCTGGCAGCGAGCCAGAGTCCACACGTGAGCGCATCCAGCGGCTGCAGCAGCTGATGTCGGCAGGCAACGCGGCGTCGGCAGACGGCGAGTACGCAGCTGCACTGGCAACCTTCGACTCCGTCGTCCGCATGTTCCCAGGTGGGGGGCCGCTTGCAGGCAGCCCAGCTGCAGCGCAGGCCTGCGCTCGAGTGCTGCTCGCCTCCACCTTCCACCCACCCCTCTCTGCCGACCCCCCTCGCTCCGCCCCAGACTTTGCCACCACCGAGTATGCGCGGCTGTCGCGGGCGCTGATGCTGTACCAGGTCGGGTCCTCGGATGCCATCCGGGTTTCGGATGCCATCCTGCAGCTGGAGGACCTGGAGGTGGCGCTGCGGGGCTACGCCGAGGTGCATGCCGCTCTGGCGGTTATCCTGTATGTGGAGCGCCCCGCGCGCCTGCAGCAGGCGGAGCAGCAGGCAAGCTCCAGCGGCCAGCCGGGGCGCCGGAAGGGCCGGAGAGGGCGCGCGTGTGCGCGGCTGCCTGATGCGCCTGGGCAACTTGCATGCCGATCCGGCGTTTCGGCTGACATTGCTGCCCATGCCCCGCCCCGCTTTCCTCTCCTGCAGTGGGAGATTGCCATGGAGTTCAACAAGTCCTTCTCCGACCGCGACTGGGTGTACCGCACCAAGCACTGGCCGCCCCGCCTCATGGCGGCGCTCGACCGCTTCCTCACCCTGACGTAGCCCTGTTCCGTATGCTAGCGTGTGTGGCTGCTGTGTGCTTTACTGCGTGTAGCCCAGCTGCTGGGCCGTTGAAGGAGCGATACAGAGAAGAGTGTGAAGCAGAGGGCGCAGCCCCAGTTGTGGTGCATGTCAGGCATGCTGGAAGTCATCGTGAAAGTACAACAGTCAAAGCGAGGCAATAAGGGGTGCAAATTAATTGAAGGTAGAATGTGATGGGGCACACCATTGCCAGCCCAGCGCGCCGTCTCTTTACTCCCCCTTACTGGCCTTGACCTTCTTCAGCAGCAGCTGCTCCGCCTTGACAGCGCTGCGGTGCTCGTAAAGCTTGGTGCCCAAGATTAGCGTGAATATCATGCCGCCATTCACGAAGACTGCAGGACATGCAAAAGGGGGGGGGCCTCGGCATGAAGGGTTGAGCCAGCTTGTGCTGCCTTACGCCGTGCAGCGCAGCGGCTTCACCTGTCATGAAAAACGGGTTCTTCAAGATCAAAGCCCGCCACAGCTCTGCAAATTGCGTGGTGGAGTACCATTTTGTCCGGTCCGGCTCATCTGCAATCACACGCAAAGGCAGCAGCAAAGGCCAGAAGCAGAGAGGACCGGTGGGAAGGCAGGGCGGCGGCAGCGGTAGGTCGGGGAAGGGCGGAGGCACAAACTGCTGTTATTCTTGATTTGCCGCAGTACATGGTGGTGCGTGGCTGAGAGAAAGACTGATGTGCAGATAGGGACCTATGAGCTCCCACATCTGGATCTGCATGGTGGTGGCAGCGGCGGCGGCGGCGCACCCAAGATGACGGCGATGCCCAGGCAGCCGATGAAGAACATCGCCACCGCCAGCGGGATGCCAACATAGCACGCCACCACCAGCCAGCGCGGCTGCTTCTGATGGGGTTTGGCTGCCCGTTTGGGCGGCGCCTTTGCTGAGCCCCTCGTGCGAGGAGCCATCATGCAACACTGAGAGCTCTGTGAATGTGCAACCAAGCAGAGGGATGGCTTCAGCACAGGGTGGCCCCCCACCATGAGCCCTCCGCCGCCTGCTGCCCCCGCTGCTCGGGCGCATGGGCCCGCCCACACCAAAAGTCTAGCCCGGCTCATGCCCTTCTGGACTGCTCACTAAAATATACAGAGTTCCAGGAATTCATGAAATTGTGCCTAGATGAAGAAGGAGTCGGAAGCGAGGTGGGCAGTAGCAGGAGAGAATGGGCAGCCGATGTGCGGCATTACCGATGCACGGTCTCTAAGTACAGGGCTGGCTGTCGCACTTATCAGCTGGACAGGAAGCGGTCGTCGAAGCGTGGATCGCTCAGGCGGCAGGCATTGGTGCGGCCGAAGAGCAGGTAGCGGTTGTTGGCCACCTGCAGGCGCCGCACAGTGGGACTGATTGGGTAGGTGGCCCGCGGGATGCTAGCCAGTGCATGCAAGACTTAGAATGCCAGTTGGCCAGGCAGACACATTACCAGACAAACACGTTCGATGCTGGCCCACCTGGCCATAGACTGCATCCTTGAAAGGGAACGGGAAGACGTCCAGCGCAGCCGCGACGAGTGGCAGCGGCGCTCGCAGGCGCTGTGCGATGCGCAGCACGGCCGCGGCCTTGATGTAGCTGCCGCCGCGCTCCACAAGCACGATGGAGCTGATGTCATCGGGCTGCCGACCCGACCGCTGCAGCAGCTGGCGGCCCGCATTCGACTGCAATGCCGCAAACCTGTACTCGCCCGCCGTGTCCCACTGAAGCATGAAGTTCACTCCGCCGTTGCACAGGTTGCAGACGCCATCAAACAGGATGATGGGGCGAGAGTCGGCTGCCGTAAAGAACTGCTCGCCTGGCGGTGCGCCTGTTTCTGCCGACTGCAACGCTGCTGGAGTGGCGGCTGGGCGGCGCCAGTGCTGCTGGTCTTCACTGCCATTGCCACGCCGATGCGGTGCTCTGGAGCCGCCCAAATGACGAGGTGTTATCAAGGCTGCAGTTATCAGGCGGGGAGTGGGCGCGTGGGGAGGTTTGGAGATGCAACTTTGCACCGCACTCGCCAAAGTCGCCATGCTCGCAATTGAGGGCATGTGCACGAGCAACACGCGGTCTGGAAGGTTGTAAACGTGATCTTCGTGGTCAAGCAGGAAGCTTGGGGGGCTGCCTAGCTGGCACTCGCAGGAAACTCCTGTAACTCCTTGGACCGTGCGCATCAAATCAAGGGCGCTTGCATCGCCTGCAGATCATCTTCAAGCCGTGACCAGGCTAGGCCTTTCGCGGTCCTCATGATGCGCATGGCACCAGACGCTGTCCCACAATTCTCTGCGCCCCGCTGCAGTGCGTGCATCTCCTCAACATGACCAGGGTGGCCAGCACCCGAAAATCCGGCCACCCCCAACTGGCGGTGACGGTTCGCACCAGACCCACACCCGCCTCCCGTCACGCTCCTCTGCCAGAGCAGCCTGGGCAGCACCGGCGCTGCCGTTGCTACCTCCCCCGCCCTGGCACAAAGGCAGTGGTAATTGGAACAGGACTGGGCCTGGCGACAGCCAGAGTGCTGTTGGCCCATTTTGGGAAGGTGGCGGTGCTGGAGCCTGTGGTGACGGCCTGCAAGGGCATGCTGAGCACGCACGCACGGGGGAGCGGACAGGGGGAGCGGACAGTGGGGGAGCGGACAGTGGGTTGCGCTGAGGGTAGAATGGAATGCAGAGGACGTGGTTTACATGGCTTGGCAGCTCGTCATCAGCAAGAGCAGCTAAGTGGCCCACCGTGGAACCAAACTTCATGGCGCCCGACAAATGCCGCTGCTGCCCTGCTTTCATGCATTGGCGGTGGCTATCAGCTCGTGTTCCATCAACGGACTCGCGTCATCCACATAATGCAGCCAGTGTCGGCACTGTTTTCGTGGCCATGCTGAGCAAGGTGCTGAGCTACTCCCGCTGCCGGCGTGACTGCCGCTGGTCGACCGCCGGCTGTAAGGCGCGGCACCGCCCGAAGAATCCCCTGTGCACGCCTTGAAAGGTTGAAAAGCCTAGCCTGTAACTATGTGCCCTTCCACTTTCCTGGTTCAATCCTGTCCCTGTCTCGAACTGCGCTCCCTGAATCGCTTGATCGTTATCCTGTGTGTTAGATGCTGCTGTTACACATAGATCTTGAGTTCAGTTGTTTCCGCATAGAGTTTAGTAAGTCAGCAACAGATAGTATCAAGAGATATTCATTTATTGATGGGTGATGAGTGGTCTGTTAGTGCAAACCATGTTGAATCGGGACCGATACACACCGAGGCAGGTGGGTGGGGGCCCCACAATCTGCTGTGCTGGAATGCAGTGCAATGCGAAGACATGAAATGGAAGCAACCTGGAGGAGCAACGGCTGAGCGGCACGCAAATAAAATGGGAATGTCATGCAAATGAAATGAGCAAGTGCAAGCGGTGCAAAAGTGAGCGCCCAGCCAGCTCAGTGCAAGCTGGCGGAAAAAGGTGAGCATGAAAAGGGGGAGAGTCAAAAACGATTATTAGTGGGAGGGTTGGCAGCGGCACAGCAGAGCCGAAGTTGCCGCATAGCTGTACTAACCGCCTGTATTATGCCTGCTGGCGCGCGGCCAACATCGCTGCGCTTTGGTACAGGTGCTGTAGCTGCGCCAGGCCAGCGGCAGCGCCCGCGGCGTTCGGCGCTGGCTGTGGCGCAGGTGGCACGACTCCGGGGGCAGCGCCCACGCCGGCTGCAGCCATGACTGCCAGCAGCTGGGTGGCGAGGCTGGGGGGCACGCCTGGCTGCCCCACCGCTGGACCACCGCGCTGCTCCGCGGCGCCCCGCAGCGCTGCCATGGCTGCAGCAACCATGCTCATGGCGCCAGGCCCTTGCTGCACCTGCTGTGCCAGCTGCTCCTGGGCGGCCCGCTGGAAGGCCCGCACCTCCTCCATCAGCAGCGCCCCACGCCGCATGTGCTCCCGCACCGCCTCCTGCACCTGCGCCTGCCGCAGCAGCAGCGGGCCCACCGTGGCGTGCAGGCCGGGAGCCTGCGCAGCCCACTGCGCCTGGTGCGGCGGCGCCGCCAGCCGCTCCGCCAGCGCGCCCAGCGTGGCTGCCTGCCCCTCCAGCGCCCGCCGCTCAGCCATCAGCTCATCGTACTGCGTGCTGGCCAGCTCCGCAAGAGCGTGCAGCCTGTGCAGGCCTCCGTCATCCTGCTCCGCAGCAGACTCCAGCGGCACCGGAAGCGGCGGCGGCGCCTCCTGCGGCTGGGCTGCCGGCACGCTTGCCAGGGCCTGGAGGTAGTGCAGGAAAGGGTCTGCTGAGCTGGCGGTGGCAGCGGCGGAGCTGGCCATGGGCATACCGGCAGCACCGCCGTCGCCGCCGACGACGGCGCCGAGCGGCTGCCGTGGCTGCTGGGCCCACTGGCCGCCGGCGCTGGCGTCGCCGCTGGCGGGCGAGGCGCCGCGCGAGGCGGTGCGGGCGCGCTTGGCCGCGGGAGGCTCCTCAGAGTCGCTGGAGCTGCCGCTGCGCCCTGCCGCGGGCCAACCGCGCGGCTGCGCCGCCGCCGCGTGCTGCTGGCTGTGGAAGCGGCGGGTGGCGGCGGGTGAGTTGCGGGTGGAGTGAGGCACGTAGGTGACGCCCTCCTGCTGCCGGTGCTTTTGCAGGTGGCTGCACAGCAGGGCGGGTGGAGTTGGGATGGGCTGGCCTGGGTTGGGTCACGAGTGCACGGGGGCAGCTCTGTGGCGCGGCTTTTGAGCCAAGCTGTGTGTATGGGAGCGAGCAGCAGCAAAGGAAGGGCAGCTGCCAGCCTACGCCTTGGCGCCCCCCACCTCTTCACGTGAGCCAGCGTGAGGCCCGGCACCCCCATCTTGGTCACAATATCCTTGGGCTGCACCGCAGAAGCCAGCAAGGCCCGGGGCCGGGTGTCAGCCACGCCAGCCAGTCAGCAAGAGCAGCGGGCGCATGGCCCCTTGTGGAGGCTGCCGCAGCCCCGAACGCACTGGTGGGCACACAGGGTGCCGTCCTGGGCGGATGCTTGGGATGCAGGGCTGCTGTGTAGGCAGGTGCGCTGCGCGCGCGCTCACCTTGGCAACGGCCGAGCCCCCCAGCTCAGCCACCGCCTTGCAGAAGCGCTGGTGCAGCTGCGGCGACCAGCGCAGCCGCTCCTTGCTGTCGATGGTCACCCGCAGCGCCTCGCCGTCCTCGCTGTCTGTCGCCAGCGGCGAGGAGGTCGTGGGTGCGGCGGGCGGCAGCGAGGAGGGCAGGGCCGCAGCAGCAGCGTTGAAGTAGTCGGACAGCGCGTCGGCGGCGGCAGGGAGGTGCTGCTGCTCTGCCGCCGCCACCTCCAGCTTGATGGTGGGCTGCTCAGACCTCTCCACCACCCCCAGCTCCACATCGTCGGTGGAGGCTGAGCTGGCCTTGCCGCCTTCGCCACTGCCCGCGGGGGTGTCGGCGGCGGTCAGCTTGGCCGCGACCGCCTTGCCGCATCCTGCAGGACGGTGGGAGGGGAGCAGTGATTCGCATAGTGGGCAGTCCTGATTGATGCCCTGATTGATGGTGTAAGGGGGAGGGAGCGGGAAGGAGGGGAAGCTTGGGCGGACGCCAACACTGCTGGGGACTGGCAGTGCCCAGAAAACGACAGGAGGGGATACAGGTACAGAAACCTCAGAGCGCAAACATCATCGAGGCGCACCTGCGGCCACCATGTGCATTCCTGGAGAACAGTTGGGAGGCTCCTTGGCCAGCAGCATCCTGTGGTGGCAGAAGTCGCCCAATGGTTGTAGGTGACCAAGCCCGCTGAGCCTGCAGTCACTCTCGGACCGATGCGACGCTGTGCCGAGGGTCACAGGGGAGGCGGCGTCGGCCTGTGCAGGTGCGGTGTTGTAGACTGGACGGTGGAAGCACTTGCGCAAGCTGTGCGCCTAGTGCGCTGTTGGAAACAGTCGCGCTGCTGGAGACGCGGGTGAACAGAAGAAGCGCTCGGTTAGTAAGATTCCTCTCATACCAAACGTGTTGTACCTTGTGCGGTCATGTGTACACCACTCATCCAATGGTAGGGAGTTGCACGGGAGCTGCGACACCACGCAATGCGCATCAGCAGAGTAAAAAGCAAAAATAACACCCAGAAAGTAAAAACAGCCACCTCCCTCTGGGCAGGCCGCGGCAGTGCCAGCGCTCGGTGGCTGGCGCCGACGAATTCATACTGCACTGGGGAACAGCAAACTTAATGGCCTTGCAGTGCTTACAGTCCACTCATGTAAGGGGAACAATGGCATATGTATCAGGGGAGCAGTAAAGCTAGCTGGCTAGCGGGGGGACAGGGAGAAGGCGGCCAGCTCTGCGGTCGGCGTGTGCCCCGTGCCACTGCTGCTGGCTGGCATGCCCGCGCCCAGGGGCCCGTCCCCAGTGGGCCAGGCGGCAGACCACTCGCCAAAGGAGGATGCCGAGCTGGTGGTGCGCCCCACCCCCGTCAGCTGCCTCGACAGCGCCGCCTGGTGAGCGGGCGCGGCAGGCGGGTCGCGAAACGGGTTGCCGCTGCCGACGCTGCCGCCCGAGGAGGTGTGGCGGTGGGAAGGCATGCGCTCGCTGGCGTCCACCGCAGCCGCGGCCGCCACAGCAGCAAACGCATCATGCTGCACGGTCAGGCCCACGCTGGCCACCACGCTGGCGCCGCTGCTGCTGCCGCGGCGGGGAGTGCCCGTGCCGCCGCCGCCGCCGCCGCCGCTGGGTCTGCTGTTGGGCGGCGGAATGCTGGCCAGCCGTTGCACGGTAAACATGCCCTGCGCCAGTGGGCTGTGTGCGGTGTGGCGGCACGCCACAGGCAGGGGGCTGTGGGCAGCAGGTTGGTGCGCCCCGCCATCATAGCCAGCCACTGGGCCCCAGCCAGACGACACTCTGTCCAGCAGATGGTGCTGCGATGGCGGCGGCGATGGCGCCACAGGTTCCGCCTGCTGCTGCTGTTGCTGCTGTTGTGAACAGCTGTGCTGCTGTTGCTGCTGCTGTGAATAGCTTTGCTGCTGCTGCTGCTGCTGGCTAAGGCTCGGAGGCAGCCTTGGCTGCTGCTGCGGCGACGACGACGGGACATGCTGCTGCTGCCATGGCTCCTCCACCCGCTCACGCGGAGGGGTGCTGCTGTCAGCCGGTGGCACCCCGCCGCTGGCCTGCCGCAGCATCGCGCCAGACATGGCCATCCCAAGAGGCCCCATGCTGCCAGTATCCAGCAGCAATCCGCCGCCGCCATTGGCACGGCCAGACCCGCTCGCCTGCCGCATGAACGGCGTGCCCAAAGGGCTCGGCTCATCCCCAAAAGTGGCCCACCCTTGGTTGCTGGCGCTGCGCTGCACCGAGGGGGGCGTCTGAGTGGCGGCTGCATCCGGAAACAGCTGCTGCGGCCGCGCCTGCAGCTGCTCAGAGGGCGGCTGCTGCTTCTGCTGCCACCGTGCCGCCTCCAGGGGGCTCTGCAGCACCAGAAGGGAGACGGGCGATGCCGCCATTCCCGCCGCGGTTGCCGTGGCCGCGGGGCGCTTGGCAGACGAGGCAGCCTCGCTGGTTGGGCCCCTGCTGCCGCCAGCATAGTCATTGGCGGGGCTACTGCTGCTGACGCCGGTGCTGCTGTTGGCTGCTGCCGCAGCGGCCGCGGCCCCAGCCACCGCACCGAGCCACCCAGCCTCCGAGTGCTGCTCAGACGATTCGGTTGTGCCAAACCGGCTGGCGCCGTGCTGCTGCTGCGGGGGCGAGCGGCTGCTAGGCACAGGCGGATGGGGCGGCGTGCCATGGAAGAGGCTTCCAAAGGAGCGGCCGCTGGCACCCATGGCCTTCTCTAGCGGCCCCGGGCTGCTCTTTGCCGCTTGCTGCATCGCGCCCTGCTCCATGCTCACCTCAGAGGCCACTGCAGGCAGCAGGTGGTGCAGAGGCCAGTCAGCCAGCCCGCACAGGCAGGGCCTGCCTGCCAGCGGGCATGCACAGGCCAGCAGGCGTGCCGGGAGCGCAGGCATGGCCGCAAAGCACCCCCACCTGAGCTAGAGTCGTCCTCGTCGTCGGCGCCAAAGAACATTTCGGGCCGCAGCTGCTCTAGTGAGGGCTCCACCCCGCCGTTGAGCGCAGCCAGGTTGGCAGACGCCCTGCAACAGCAGGCAGCGCGGCAGCGGGATACATCTCAGGGGGCTGCAGCTGCTCCGACGCCTGGTGGCGATGACAATGCTCGCCTGCAGAGGGTCCAGCAAAATTCTCAAAATTCAGGTGGCTCCCCGCACCTGTGCAGGTTGGAGTAGCTGCTGGACCGGCTGCCCGGCCTGCTGCTGCTGAAGCTGTTGGTGCGGCTGTGCGCTATCACCGCGGCTGCAGCGATGCCAGGGCTGGGCCGTGCAAGGTTGAGGCCGCCGGGGCCGGGGCTCATGCGCGACAGGTTGGGACCGCTGTGGGAGCGCCTGCAAGCAGCAGAGCCGCAGCAAGGGCATGGGTCACAAGGCGGGCGAGGCACCTCGCCTGATGCCCGGCGCAGCAGCCTCCCTCCAGCCCCAGCAAGCTGCCCGCTCCCGTTGTTTGCCGGCCCGCCACTCACACAGACACGTGCAGCTCCTCCTGCTGGCTGGTGCCCAGGCGCTGGATGGAGGCCACAATGCTGCCGCCGCCCTGCTTCACCGCGCTGCCCGCCTTGCGCAGCAGGCTGCCGATGCGCCCCTTCTGCGCGGCGCCGCCAGCCGCCACACCGGCGATGCCCAGCCGGATGCTGCTGCGCGTGTTGCGCTCCGTGACCTGCACGCCGCACACGCCTCGGCGGCTCGGCAACGCCGGGAGCTGGCTCTGCCACCCCCCACCTGCCACCCCCCCAAAATGCACTGATCTTCCCTGCCCTGCCTGCCTGCCCAGCCCCGCCCCACGCCCTCCAGCACCTGGCCCCTGCCCCCCACCTTGAGCTCAAACGGGTCCTCCGTCACGTATCCCTCCGAGGCCAGCTTGAGGCGCTCCGTGATGAACACCTCCAGCATCTGGGAGTTGCGGAACTGCTGCAGGAAGGCCGCCACCTTGTCCTTGCGCTTGTGCGCGGCGATGAAGGCGGCCTGGTCAAACAGGAAGCCGTGGGCGCTGCACGCAGGCGGGGAACAGAACCCAGTCAGGCAAGGCAGGGGTGGAGAGCCGGCAGCTGGCCGCTGACCCAGGCTGGCGGCCATGCATGGCTTCCCAATGCAGGGGGGGGACAACATGAATGCAAGCCTGGCGCCAGCCAGAGGGCTGCCGGCGGTGCGCCGCCACCCACCGCGGGTTCTCCTCTGCAGCGCCCTTGCTGCTGGTGTTGCTGCTGCGGCTGCTGGCCTGGGGCCGGTCGAGGCCTAAGGCCAGCGCTGCCGGGGTCACCTCATCATCCGGCCTCACAAACTGGCGGTAGCGGCCCATCAGGCGCAGGAAGAAGTCCTGCCAGGGGGGTTGGGCGCCGCCATGTCAGCACCCGCAGCATGCTCCGCTCATGGCTGGCACTGCAAGGCTGCCAGCAAGCAGGCCCCCCCCACCTGCAGCAGCTCCGTGCACTTGGGCGTGCTGTCAAACTCGGTGGGGCTCTTGATGTGCTCCCGCACCACCTGCGCATGCAGGGCGGGCGCGCCTGTTGGCAGGTGGCACCGCCACCAACCCCACACACTGCCAGCACACTACACTGCTCGCTCGGTGCTCCACCCGGTGCCGCCAGGCGCTCGCCGACTTGCTGCTTCCACCACCCAGCTCCACCCCCAGGCGCCCACCTCGAACACATCCTCCAGTTCCCGCGCATACGGCAGCTGCCAGTAGTCGTCACCAGGGCTGCCCAGCTCGGGCGTGCACGACCCCAGGCGGTCCAGGTCAATCATCACCACCTCTTCCAGCGGCAGGCCACGCAGCAGCGGCAGGCACTCGGCCAGCACCCCAGCCAGGTACGGCATCGGAGCCGCCAGGTAGTCCTGCGGGGGAGGCAGGGGGTGTGGTGGTGTGAGGTGGTGGGGTAATTGGGCAGGTGCTGGCGCAAGGACGTGCAGCACAGCAGCAGCAGCAGCGCCAGCAGCGCCTGAAGGGGCGGCAACGGCAGCGAAGCGGGACGCCCAGTGCCAGCAGCGCCACCAGCGCCGCCGGCGGCCCCCTCCAAGCGCACACCTTGAGCGCCAGCGGCAGCAGCGGCAGGTAGATGTGCTGCCAGCGGAAGGGGTAGAGCATGGCGCCGGCCGCGTGCACCGCCGCCGACACGGTCTCTGCGTCACGTGCCACCAGGATGATGCGCCGCTCCAGCAGCAGCGAGGCCACCAGCGTGACAGCCTGGCGCGGCGTCAGGAACCACAGCAGGCGCGCCAGCGACACGCCCGCGTTGGCCGTGCTGTTGCCCAGGCTGGGGGGCACCTGCGGTGGCAGGAGTGCGGCGGCGAGAGTGCGGCGAGCGGGCTGGTGAGGTGGCGGCATGCCTTCGCCCGCCCACGTGCCTGCCTGCGCCTGCTGAGCCCAAAGCCGCTGCTGGCGCCTCCCCTGCGAGCCCCAGCACCCACCTCCAGCTCTATGGCATCTGGCGACATGCCCAGCAGCGGGCCGCCCCCGCCCGCCCCCGCCAGCGCGCGGCGCATGCGGTCCACGCTGATGGGTGCTCCCGAGTAGGGCAGCGGCACGCGCAGCACGGCGCCCAGCGGCGGCTGCGCGGGCCCCGCCGCCGCCACCAGGCGCGGCAGGCCGGCCATGAAGAGGGCGGTCGGGGCGTCTGGCGGCAGCTGGGTGCAGGCGGCGTGAGAGGCCAGCAGCTGGTCAACCACCTCGAGCGCCTTGCTGAAGAAAGCGGCCCAGCAGTGCTGCGACAGGATGCACAGCACCTGCGGGAAGCGCTTGTGCTCCACCGACGAGGCGGTGGTGCCCTTGGCTGCGCCGCCGCCCTTGCCGCTGCTCGCGCTGGGCTGGTGCGTGGTGTCGTGCGTCTTGCGGCAGAAGCCGTGCAGCCGCTGGCCATCGCCGCCGGTCAGCGTGAAGGAGAACTCGCAGGTGACCAAGTAGGGGCTGGGCTTGACCGCCTCCACACCCAGCGGCCAGCAGAAGGGCAGCAGGTTGTCGGGGGAGGGGACCGCCACGCCACGCGCCCCGGGCGGCTCGAAGCGGCAAAACAGCGCGCCGCGCTGGCCCGGGGCGCCGCCCTCGCCGCCGCCGATGCTGCCGGCGCCGCCGCCTTGCACCACCCGTGCCACGAAGAAGGCCTCGAAGAGCCCGTGAGCCATGGGCAGCCAGCAAGGAGCAGGAGCCACAAAGTGGCAGGGGCGTTACGGCCCGCCCATTCTGGCCTGGCACCCTGCGCCAAATGGACAGCAGCCTCGCACCAAAAGGAGGGAGAATGCGCCGGCCGCTCCTGTGCAGGGTGGGAGGACCGCGTGCGTCGTGGCAACCGGTGAGCTGGCGATCTCTGGAAGGTCCCCGGGGAGTCCCCAGACCCTGTTGTTGATAGGTGCGCCAATCAGGATCACCCGCCAATAGGCATGCGCCGCCTCTAGGTGGCTGGGAAAAGGGTGTGAGGCCCTTGGACGTGGTTCGTCTATTGGCGGCTTCTCCTGTGGTGCAAGGGCCTTGGACTCACTGACAATGCAGCTGCCGGGAGCCCCCGAGGCGCCGGATGGCGGCATGGGCGGCGGCGGCGAGTCCCTGCCGCTCGCCTCCCTGCCGCCCGCACCCAGTGCGTCGTCCCTTGAGCTGGAGCTGCCGCTGTCACCTGTCGTGGCCCTGCCCATTGAACCTTCCAACATCAACAGCAGCCAGCCATTTGGCGGCGATGGAGCAGCAGCAGGAGCGCTTTCGGCAGCGGAATCTGATGTCCCAACCTCCCCTCTCCGCTCCGGCAGCAGCCGCAACCATCTGCTACAGTCGCTCAAGCGGCCCGCCACCGAGGTGTGGGTGTTTGGGCGTGGAGACATGGGGCAGCTTGGGGATGGCAGCACAGAGGATGTTTTTGTACCACGCCTGGTGAAGGGCCTCAAGTCCCGTGATGTGGTCAACCTGGCCGCAGGCGCCCTGCACACCGCCGCCGTCACCTGTGAGCCGCCGCCTGATTCACCTGGGCGCTGCCATCCTTGGTGGTTGTGTGTGATCATGGCACGGGCGACCTGCTTGCTGCTCCAGCCTGTATCCTGCGCGCTGCTGCCTTCCTCCCTCTCCCCCTGCCCCTCCTGTTGTGACGCCGTTGACTGCATCTTCCCGCCCGCCGAATCGTCCCGCCCTGCCGTGCCCCGCCCTGCCGTGCAGCCGACGGCGAGCTGTACGTGATGGGCAGCAACGAGGAGTCGCAGCTGGGCGTGCGGCAGCGCAGCGACGCCCTGGCGCCCACCCGCGTGACCGCCCTGGAGCAGTTCCAGGTGCAGCGGGTGGCCTGCGGGCCCGCGCACACGCTGGCAGTGGTGGATGGCGGCGCGGTGGCGGCCTTTGGCAGCGCAGAGTATGGCCAGGTGGGGCTGGGGCCGTGCGGCGCGCGGGTGGAGCTGCCGCGGGTCGTGAAGGACCTGAGGAGCATGCACATCGTGCGGGTGGCGGCGGGGGGCAGCCACACGCTGGCCCTCAGCTCCACCGGCGGCGTGTTCAGCTGCGGCAACGGCAGCTTTGGGGCGCTGGGGCGGGGCACCACCGAAGGTGTGCTGCTGCCTGCGTGTGGCGGGGTGTTGTGGCCTTGTCCGCGGTGCTGCCCTGCCCTGCCCTGCCCTGCCCTGCCCTGCCCTGGGCTGCTGCATGGGCTGCTGCATGGGCTGGTGCTGTTCGCCTCTTTACCTGCCTGTTCAGCCACTGACTTGCTGGGCTCGCACGGTGCAGGCAACGATGTGCCGCGCCCCATCAGCCGGCTGTGGCCCTTAGGGGTGGTGCAGATTGCATGCGGTGAAAATCACTCGGCAGCGATCACAGCAGATGGACGAGTGCTCACGTGGGGACGAGGCAAGCACCGGCTGCTGCCAGCCTTCCACTGCGGTCTGGTAGTGATGATGTTTCTCCTGCCCCGCAAAACCCTCACCGTTTGAATGGTGCCCGAGCATTGCATGCTCCCGCCGCCTGCGTCTGCAGGGAGGTATGGCGCGCTAGGCCACGGCGACTTTGAAAACTGCAGTACCCCCAAGCCTGTCCAGGCGCTGAAGGGCATCGTGGGGCGGCAGGTCAGCTGCGGCGACGACCATACGGTGCTGCTAACTGAGGATGGCAGTGTGTATGCCTGGGGCAGGTGAGAGCGGCAGGCTGCCAGGGGAGGCAGCAGGTGCCCCCAGAGCGTGCGCTGCGTGCCATCCGTGGATGCTCAGAATTCATAGCTGTTCTGGCTGAACACCAGGCTTATGCGTTGGGGTGTGCGCCCTGCGCCTGCAGGGGCACCTGGGGTCAGACCGGGCAGTCCCACACAGACAACATCTGCCAGCCAAGGCTGGTGGGGGGCGCGCTGGAGGGGCAGCAGGTGGTGCAGGTGGCGGCAGGGGGTAGGCACACGCTGTGCCTGGGCGCCGACAACCAGCTGTTTGGCTTTGGTGAGGCACTGCTGCCTCGCCGCTGATGGTGTGGTGTTTGTGGGCTGGAGACACGCTGCAGGTAGAGAGAGAGGCTCGTCTTGCTGAGCCCGCTTGTGCGCCCCGTGCAGGCGCAAATGAAAGCGGCCAGCTGGCTGCGCCGGCTTGCGACAGCCAGCCCGCTGCGCAGCTGGTGCATGGGCTGCCAGCGGGGCCCATCCTGTTTGTGGCAGCCGGCGGCGCCCACTCGGCGGTGGTGGTTGATCGAGACAGCAGCCCACAGCCTGGGGCCATCGGTAAGCTCCGCGGGCGCTGCTGTTCCCGAAACAGCCTGCAGCCAGGTTTCCTTTGAAAGCTCTGTGCGGGGCAGCCTGGCGGCTGGTGTTCGCAATGCCCATGCTGCTGCCCCGAGTGCAGGCCCCTGCGTCACCCACCGGCATGGCGACCAGTGGTGCCCGGTGGAGGTGCCAGACCTGCTGCAGCTGACAGCCCAGGCCGCGGCTCACAAGGGCGACCGGTCCGCCCTGGAGGATGTTATGGCGGCCGTGGAGAGCACCTTTGGCTCCCCGGGTTACCTGCTGGCCTCCCTCTCCAGGCAGCCAACCAGACCGGCCTCGTCAGCAGGTGCTGCAAACACAGGCGGCACACAGCAGCAGGGCATTCAGCAGCGGCAGGAGCAGCAGGGTGAGGACGGCGCCGGCCCACAGCCCATGGACTCCAGCCCACGGGCGCAGGCGCCGGCCTCTGCTGCCTTCTTTGCAGATGGGCGCCCGCAGCAGCAGCAGCAGCAGCAGGGGGAGGAGGCGGCGGCGGCGGCGGCTTGCGGGTTGGATGTGGAGCGCGCTGGCACCGTCTACCAGGCGCTGCTGAAGCTGTATGAGCCCGAGGTGGTGGTGACCCTGGGCAATGCCTGCGTGCGCCTGCTAGACAGTGAGTGGCGCCCAGCCAGCGCCTGCTGCGGCAGCTGCTTCTTTTTGCGCATGCGGAACTCTGGTGACGTTGCCTGCTCACCTGCCGCGGCTGTTCCGTGGGACGCTCACCTGCCGCCGCTCCGCTCCTGGCCGCCGCCCGCGGCTGCTGTGCTGCAGTGCTGGAGAAGTTCCTGAACAGCATGGCGCAGCGGGAGCAGCAGGACGCACCGGTGGCGCCTCCCAGCCCGCCCTCCAAGCAGCAGCAGGCGCAGCCACGGCAGCAGCGCGCGGAGCAGCAGCAGCTGGGCTGGGTGGCGCCCGTGCTGTTTGTGCTGCTGCAGAGCCCGCTGAACAGCGACCCGGCCGGCTTTGGCAGCAAGCTGCTCATGCGCATATCTCGGGTCGTGTCGGTCACGGTGCCCGCCCGGGAGCGGCTGCCTGTGCGGCTGCAGCTGACCCGCCTGCTCAGCACGCTGCCGGGCGACGTGCTGGCGGCGCGCTGCGTGCGCCCCGTCCAGCGCTACATCGATGGCTGCGTGCGGGCGGGGCTGGGGGCCACCCGCGTGCAGGTCATGATGGCCGGTGTGCTGCTGGACATCCTGCGCCAGGCCAGCGAGGACGGCGGCGGCATCATACCCTACACCGAGTTCCACAACGCCCAGCTGTCGGAGCACGCCAACCTGCAGGCGGAGTATGTGGCCTGGCGCCAGAACACCAGCACCACCGCGCTGTGCAGTATCTGCCAGGTGGGGGCTGTGGGCTGGGGTGGGGCTGGGGTGAGGCGGGTGCGCTGCTTGTGGGGTGGGTGGGTGCCGCCTGGGGGGGCGCCTCCTGCCGTGGGAGGGATGCCACGAGTGCCCGCTCGCCTCCTCGCGTGCCTGCTGAGCACACGCCTGCGCCCCCCCTCTGCCCTGCAGATGCCCTACCTGCTCACCCCGGAAGCCAAGAGCTTCATCATGCACGGCGAGGCAGCCATGCAGCAGCAGCAGCATCTCTCGGCGGCGGCCATGCAGGTGCTGCTGCTCACCTGCCTCCCGCCTGATCCTCACCCTTCGCCGCTCCCTTTCTGCCCCGACCACCCCCGCCGCCGCGTTGCCTCAATGCCGTAGGCCTTCTTCTCCGGGGGCAGCGCCGCCGTGGCCGCTTTCCTGCAGATCCGGGTGCGGCGCAGCCACGTGGTGGAGGACGCGCTCAACCAGCTGGCCCACCTGGAGGCGCAGGACCTGAAGAAGCCGCTGCGGGTGACCTTCATCACGGGCGGCGTGCCGGAGCCGGCCCAGGTGTGGCGCCGCGGCACCCGGGACGAAGCTGCGGGCACATTGCACCTGCCTAACGCATTGGCCGCCTGCCGCCTCGCTGTCGCCTCCTCGCCCTGCCGTCGACCGCCTGCCTGCCTGCCTGCCTGCCTGGCGCCGCTGCTGTGCCTGCCTGCCTCTGTGCGCGCGTGCAGGACGAGGGCGGGGTGACCAAGGAGTTCTTCCAGCTGCTCACGCGAGACCTATTCAGGCCAGAGTACGCCATGTTCACATACAAGTGAGGCAGGGGCGGCGGCGTGTGTGGTGGCGGCGGGCCTGTGTGTGGGCGGGGCAGACAAGGGACCCTTCTGATGCGGTGCGTGCCGCTGCTGGGGATACCCTCTTTGTGGCAATCGCTGCCTCGAATGGCCTGCTGTGCCCCTCCGCCTGCCCGCACGTA